TGCAATGTTCGAAAGTTATAAATATTCCTGGTCAAATATCTTAAGTTTTCCGATTGTTAAGCGTTATAAAACGTTATAGCTTCCCAAATTTTATAACACACTTATTATAGCGATATAATTATAGATACTCTCTTTTGGCTCGTGGCGTTGGTTATATTTATAGCTGTGTGGAGGAGTTCTAGAAATTTCAGTCTTGCATAACAATGCAAGTTAGTATTTACGTACACACATATATTGTTGATTCTTACTCTCGAGAATCTTCTACAACTTTGGAGAGTAGGCGGGAGTTTTAAGCTACGCATGTTTTTAAATATAAACTTAATCTAAACAATGTCGATATTAAAATAAATATATAATAACAAATTCGTTACATATATATATATATATTTACCGAATATGGACCCCAGTGGCTGAACGGTATGTCTGAAAGTCTATAATGCTTAAAATCGGGTTTCAATACCTCCGGTGGTTACAGCACAGAGAGCTAATTGTGTAATTTTGTGCTTAATAATGAAAAAACGAAACATTTTTTGAATGTACTTCTTCTGTGTAAAATATTATGATGTAGGTCAATAAATAATTTAATAAGCTGGCTATATACTTTTACTGAATTATTCATTGTTGTACATTAATCTAATTTACACGCACACTCAATATTTCCGCTGTTTGTTTATTGTTTGTTAAGGGCAAAGCTATACAATGGGTTATCTATGCTGTGCCCACCGCAGTATCGAAACCTATTTTTTAGCGTTATAATCCCTCAGACTTATCACTTAGCCGGGGGGGGGGGGCAGCTGCGCTGATAATTATTTAATTAAGTCACAGATAATAGTTTTAAAAATATAAAATACTAACTACATATATAAACTTTGAATGACCGATAAATGCTCCACTTTATATAATGATGCTGAGTACAAAAACTTCGGGAAATTGATTTTATACCGTTCATTTTCAGCGAGGGTCTCTATATTGGGTCACATTGAGTAATTTTATGTTTGTTTGTTTTGTTGCCTGATACAGCACTAAGTGTAAAGAACTGCCAAAAAAACTAATGACATTTCTGATTCCCTATGTAAAATATATGGAACATCTATAAATAATTATTGGAATTAATTACAATATTGACGATATTTTTGTTTAAAATGCTTGTATCACTCGAAAGTTATAATAATGAAAAAACGAAACATTTTTTTGAATGTACTTCTTCAGTGTAAAATATTATGATGTTGGCCAATAAGTAATTTAATAAGCTGCCTATATACTTTTACTGAATTATTCATTGTTGTACATTGTTGTAACAGATCCATGGACTCACAAGCAATGTGGTGCATAAATAGTTTATAAACATGTCTTTAAAAAGTCTGTGGAGTCCAGACTCTATCGGTAATTTTAGGTTAACACACAACAGGTTAATGAATATTGTTTTTAACCTTCAGAAAATGTTATCTTATTTTTACCATATTTAGTATAAAATCGATTAATATATTTATATGTTTTTTTTTTATTCTAGATTCCAAATACCATTGGCAACGCTGGAGGAATCCTAGGAGTTTACATAGGATTCTCCTTCTTGGTCGTTTATGAAATAGTAGAAGTTTTGATTCGCACGTGTCTTGGTAAAATAAAGAAAATATCACAAGTTAAGTCAGAAGCAAATGGAGTCTCCACTGAAGAAGCTTTTAAAAAAAGAGAAAACTAGAACTAGTTAGAACGAGCAGAAAGTATATTCGATTCCCAAAAATTTCCACTTTATAAATAATTACATTTCCTCACTTTATAGATTTTACAGAGTAAAACACAGGCTACTAAAATTCGTAATTTATTTTATTATTTTCGTTTTAAATAAAACACGCTCTCACAAAATATTCCTAAAGTCATCAGAACAATTGCATGATATGAGATCTCATTCGATACAGTAAAACATGGCCATTTTAAAACTATAGATTTTTATTAATATTAGAGTACTTTCACGACACAAATAATAGACTTTTTAAATATGTTGTTGATATATTTTCAATCTAAGTTAGCCACTTTGATTTTCAGAGATTAATTAATGTAGAGTACGAATTATATTCCTGAAATTATAAGAGATATCATATAAGTTAAAGTACAACTCATATGTGAGAACACGCTATGAATTTCTATTCAAGTAATTACATGTGTAAGAGTATCAAGCGTAATAAAATTTATTTTCCTCACCAAAATGGTTAAAATATGTAAATCAGTATGATTACGTCAGTAACGTCACTATTTAATAGTTCTTCATGGTTCACAAAACTAGTCGTTAGAAATTGAGTTGTAAAGAAATTAGTGGATATTGTTAATGATTATCTTGTATATCTTTTAGCGTAATAAAACTATCTCCTTGAAGATTTTAGGATGGAAACTGGGATTAAGGCACTGATAAATGGTAAAATGATGGTTTTAAGATTAAAATCTAAAAACAAATATGGTTCCAAATAAAAATGTTTCTAATGGTGAGATCAGAATTGAAATTTTACTTTTATAATTGATAAAAATAACTTGGTTATCAACAAGAAATAATTTGTCTCCCTATTAGAACCGCATTAATGTATCCAATTTTTAAGTGACGTCCGAACCTATGTATAGTAGAGAAATGTTTATTTGTTTTGAATTTCGCGCAAAGCTACACGAGGGCTATCTGCGCTAGCCGTCCCTAATTTAGCAGTGTAAGACTAGAGGGAAGGCAGCTAGTCATCACCAACTCTTGGGCTACTCTTTTACCAACCATTATAACGCCCCCACGGTTGAAAGGGCGAGCATGTTTGGTGGGGGGACAGGGATTCGAACCCGCGACCCGCAGATTGCGAGTCCTAACCACCTGGCCATGCCCAGTAGAGAAATGAATGGCTAGAGTACAGTATTTATACGTTATGTACTTGCTGGAAAATTATTTTAAAACTGTCCCATTATATATCAAATATTAGAAATATATCCCATGCATAACTAATTCACTTGAATAAAAGTGTGTAATGCAGGAAATAGCACAAAGGAAGCGCGTGCTGTGCTATTTGTTTTCAATATACTTTCATAATGACAAAAGTAAGTATTTTTATTGTTATTATAAAAGTTATATTTAGCTATTACTAAATTAGTGGTGAGTTCAGTATAATGCAACGCTCCCAACACTACCATCATCAACAAAAAAATAATAAATGCAAAATACCTAAAGCTGTCCCTAGAACTGGGGTCGGGGAGTGGTGGAGGGTATATGATCGTTTTCGATAATCTTTTCTCCCCGTCCACCCTAGGTTATGCCTCCCCCTCTGAAGTTCCAGACCCACAAGGGACATTTGTATTTTGCAGCCTGGATTATGAGTTGACTTTGTACGGGCATCAGCACTGAAACATCGAGTTTAGAAGTCAACCTGTAAAGTCTTGCTGGGAACTGCTTTAATTTTTACTTAAGACCTCTCATGTAACCCTGCCATCTTAAAAACCTGTCATGAAAGTTATAACTTGGCACGAGCACAAAGCTGGTAGTTAGAAAAACTTATGAAATTATTGTGCCTACTGAATAACTTTTAGCAAAATAATCCAAGGAACTAAGATTATGAACATAGGATCTTAAGATATGAAAAATGTTAGTCATATATACGCAAAAGTTTTGCAAAAACTTTCGTGTGACTTTTTAAAACTCTAACTAGACTATGAAATCGATTGGTACTGTTTAGCACTTTCTTAAAAAATGTACAATAATTTTCGAAGTATCCAAAATAATTCAAAGGCAATCGTTTGTAGTGATACACATATGATATATATATATTTGTCGCTTGGTTTGACATTTATCGTCTTAAAATGATTTAGATTAATTCAATTCTCACTTTCATCGTGATACTTCACGAGATCAGTATATTTGTTCTAACTCATAATTTACAGAATTTACACTCGCATGTAGACATATCTGTAAAAGTATTTTGAAGCATGTAACTGTAACACGCAACTTTCTTTTCTCGTGTAAAATAGAACTTGTAGCTTTTATACTTTTGAAAAAATATTCGGTTTAATTTAACATATGTTACTGACCTTAAACAATATAGTGCATGGGTTATTAAATTTGTTCTGTATCACAACTTGCAACTATATTCAGGTTTTTCGCCAACATACCTTTATAATTTCTGTGTCAAAATTAGTAACAAGTTAAGGGCATCACTTAATAGTAACTTGTAATGTTGATGTTGTTAGTAGAAATTAACGTACGATATAAATTTAATCTGATATAGTATTGTGAAATAACGTATCTAGTAAACTTGACCTAGCATGGCCTATGGGTTAGGTCGTTCGACTTGCAATGTGTAGGTCCCGAGTTCGAATCCCGTCCCGAATATGCTTGTCCTATAAAACTGACCACTCTGATGTAGAAGAACGTATCTAGTAAACTGAAAGTAGCATGTCTATTACACCATGTAACCGAACAATTATAATTCCCGACAAAACACCAACGTTGATCGACATAAAATACGATATACATTTTGGTGAAACAGGACAGTTAGAAGATTTTGTTTCCTTTAACATTTTCATATGTTTCTCGTTGTAAGTTCCTGTGTCATTCACTTGGATCATAAAATTTCTCAGTAAAGGGGTAGTTTTAACAATCAAACTCGGCTGTAAAAAGAGGGTGGCAAATCATCATCTTTAATAAAAAGTATTTAAAAAAGTTTCACCACTGCCTGAATACAGAACTGGCGAGATACATCGGACAGATTCATACTTCATGTACAATATTATTGAAAACTAAATAGTGTACCAACACAAATTTTTCTATATGTCCACTTTAGTGTAGGTGTTGTAAAAGACAACCTTACTGAAGCTAGTGTAATTCTCTTTTGTTCTTTGACTAGATATATCATAAATAATGAATATGATTAACATAATTATCCATATTACTTCAATGTTATCAATTATGACATTAGCAATGTGAAAATTCGATGCCGAAAAACCCACTTTGAGACTAATAATGCTTGGAGACGGCTTCAATAGGTAATGAAGAAAACTTTAATATAAGTTTAACATAACAGCAAATGTACAACGTTTCGACAAGGTTTTGTCATCATCAGGTACACGTAGTTTACACTGACACAGATATATATATACAGTATGGAATAAAAAGGTCACAGGAATGGATATTGTTGCACGACTTAGAAGAGATATCTTGGTTCCCCAGGGTGTTTGTTTAGAGTAGGGTTGTTTTGTTCAATTAAGATGGATTCTTGGATTTTTCGTGTTTTTTTAATGTTTGGTTCTTTGCTTACAATTACTGTGTTTTTAATAGATATGCTATGGTTTTTGAGTTTCATTGGTGGAAAACATGGAATGGTTTTTTATTGTGTTCTGTGAATCTGGTTACCAATTTTCTTCCTGTTTCTCCGATTTATACTTCTGGGCAGTTATTGCATGTTATTTTGTAAATGACGTTGGTATTATGTGATTCTAAATATTTTTTTTTAGTAACGATTTTAATTTAGGGCCGGGTTTTTGAGAGAATTTGATGTTGACAGGAATTGTGTTTAATGGCTACTTTTGTCCAAGTGTGGATTATTCTTGACATGGTTTCAGGGATAAAAGGTAAACCGCAGTGTAATGTTTTGTTGTTGGATTTGTTAGTTTCAATTTTGTTCGTGTTTTGGAAAGTTTTTCAACAATAGCTGGTGGATATTTGTTGGTGTGAATGAAGGAATGCTTTATGTGGTTGATTTCTTCATTTATGTAGCCCGTTGAACAGAGTCTTGTGGCTGTTTTTATGAGGTTTGTCAGTGTATTGATTTTTTGTGTTTTGTCATGAGCGGAATTCCAGTGGATGTAGAAGCCGGTGTGTGTGTTCTTACGGTGAATTGTGGTTTTAAACTGTGTGTCCGATCTAATAATGTTGAGATTAAGAAAATATAACTGTTCTTGACAATATATTCATGACCCAGATGGATACACAAGCCATACATTCTGCGCTTCATCCCCTACTATACTGGTACAGATATGTCTATGACACTTTTGCTGGTTTCAATTCTACAGAACACACACTAACTTTCTTTGAATACATAAGCTCCATTCATCTCAACATCAAATTTACCATAAAACACAAAAAAATAAACAGCCGTCTCCACGCATTATTAGCAATGTTAGAAATACTGTTTATAAATGTTAATAAATAAAACGGGTTTAAATCAATGTAATTTTACATTGAAGATAAAAGGCTGCTATCCACACAGTATAAATGTGTAGAAATGGAGTTTAAAATACTAACGCCCTTCATAAGAGTCATTTCCAAATATGTGAAACAAGCATGTGAACTCTAAAAATAGGAAGTGAATGGCTCTAGTGTTAGTAGTACCGAAAAATATAAAAATAGAGACGTAAAAACGTATTATAAGAATTGAATAAAGAAGACATTTTACTGGATCATACACGAAAAAACTAAAGGTTGTATCTAGAACTCGTTGCTACTTATTTTTTGTAAAGAACGTGTGTTGAAATGAAGACGATTTTTGCGTCACAAATTTCAAGTGGTAAAAGAGGAAAGAAACTTAATTTGCAGTAAAAAACTTTTCATTTGGCCCTCAAAATTTTATATAATTAAAGTACGAAACTAAAACAAAATAAT